TGGGCGATTACCGCCCCACCCCTGCACTTTCCTATTTCATGCACGAATTTTGCGGTTCCTCCGTCTAATACCCTTAGGTATTGGTCCGATGTTCCGGCCCCTTCTTCTTTTCCTCACGAGGCCTTTTAGGCCCGTACTGCCTTTTGTAGTGATTTATACGTTTTTTTGCACCTATGCAATGCGGAAAACAAGTATTGATGAGAGGTGTCTGTGGGTATGTGTGTGTATGTGCATCTGTACCGATTTTCTTATTAGTGTCTACGTTTTCGTATTTCTCCATTCCCGGTACTTCTCGTTACATGGACACACCTTTCTTCACAAGTTTTTCCCCTCCTTCATCTGTTTCTTCGCCATATCTGGTGTCTGTCTTTGTTTCCTTTTTCCGCCTTACTTTTTCCTTTTCTTGCTTCGCCTCCTTACATTTTTTAAACAAACTGCAGCGAACAGGTTGACCCTGGAAGTCTAACTGGTGTGAGTGTGACAGATAACAGTAGGAGATAAGAATGAGATAAGACGTTCCGGTCCATTAAGAGTCATATACGCCTTAACTCAACACCGCAACTGGACCTCGTCAGTATGACAGCTGCAGTGCTTAAAAGAGAAGAAAAAGAAAGGAGGAAGACAGTAGAAGGAACGAAGAGCTGGTTTTAAATTTGCATCGTATCTGTCGTGCTCTCGCTGTCTAGTTGTGGTGCTAAGCTAAAATATCCATAGTTTAATGGACTGGAACATTTTATCTCTTCCATCTACCTCTTAGCCCTTCTGTCCGGCTTTTTTCTCGCCCATTCCGGCTTTGCAGTAATATCGTGATTACAAGTAAGTAACTTGTTTTGATTTTCTGATAAAAGGTATTTTCGCCGGGGCGCAGTTCCCTACCATCAGAGTTCCTAGCAATCCTTCTATGATACCCGTATCTGAATCTGCTTTCTCTAATGGTTAACCTGTTGTAGATTCCGTCTTTCTTTGTTTTTTTTTTTTTTTTTTCTTTCCTATTTTTCAAACAAAAATGCCAAATGTACCACATTTTTCTGTCGTTTTTCTGACCATTCAGCTAGTACCACTCCTGTTCTCATCCCAATCAGCCATCATTCGTAGGAGAAAGTCTTCTGATATGAATTTTTCATGTAAATTCAGCTATAATTGCTCCTAGGTAATGAAACAGATGGTTCACATATATCTCAATTGTATTGAGTTGTAATAATTTCCAAATTAAAACATAGGTTCGTCAGACTGTCATATTCGGAATTGCAACCGCTACTTCTTTTCATGATGAACGTACGAAATCGATATTTTTGCTTTTTATAGCATGGAGCTCAAGCGACAAATTGCGAAAACGGTGGACAACGTTTGGTTTCAGTTTCTCTGCAAAGTTTGCCAGGTAACTTTTTTTGTTTTTTTTTTCCGTTCAGCGGCGTAAATCATACGATAGACAGGTGAAAACCGTCGTTGTTGTTGTTAAAATTTACCCACATACCAAGCGCAGCGATGGAACCCAGCTCTTTTTTTACAGTGAAGGCTAGACTTTTTGGGTTCTTTATCTCCTCTTCCTTCAAAAATCGTTAAAATGAGCGTATTTTACCTTACTAATAGAAAAAAAAAAAAAAAAAAAAAAACGAAATCTGTAAATGATACTAAAATAACAAATTTTTGACAGTCAATATTTGGCGGTATAAATCGGGCTATAATACCATTATTTTCCATCATCCGCCTTATCATCATCATCATTAATAATACTAAGATTGATGACGATATCAATGGCGGTAATCATCATCACCGTCGTTAAAGTGCTAAGAACAATGACGGCAATAATAACAATAATAATAACAGCAACAATTATTAATAATAATGACAACAACAGTAATAACAATAATAATAGCGACAGCACTGATAATGATAACAATAATAATGATGATTAAAATAATAATGACGACAACGATAATGATAATAATAATGATAGAAATAATAATCATTCATCGTATTCGTTCTTTTGCGTCGTTGGAAAAATTGACATCGTTTCCCTAAGTGCTACAACCAAATCTACATTGCCTGGCGATCGGGCTGCTGATTAGAATGTTCCTTTGTTTTCCTTCTCTAGGCAGATGATTATTATATCGTATTGTTCAACCAGAAATTGCCAGGTCATAATAAAGTAGTGTAGATTATTTTTGTGATAATATGAAGTTTATAATAATTTTGTACCTACATCGGATTGTCCAAAAAAACAAATCGTGAATCATGGACTTATAATTTACGAGTTTTAGGCCGTTCAATTGGTGTATCTCTTACGAGTGAAAATCTTGGTAGTGATTTGTCGGAGGAGGATCTGCCTCTGCCACCAAACTGGGCTGTAGAAGTGACACCAGAAGGAATTCGGTAAGTGCAGCGGTCCTGATTTTTCCTTTTTTTTGCATTCTTTGCAGCTATACAATGCAGAAAACGCACATTGACGAGAGGTTGTGTGTGTGTTTGTGTGTGCATGTGTGTGTGTGTGTGCATGTGTGTGTATGTGTGTGTGTGCATGTGTGTGTATGTGTCTGTGTCTGTGTGTGCGCTGGGCGTCTGTTACCGATTTTTCATCTCGAGACCTACAAAAGTTGCAGGGCTGAAACTTTGAGATCTTAATCTACATGGATGTACGCCCAAATCCCCGAAATGGGCAGTCTTACCCACGTGGCACCCACTCACGGATTCGTGAAAGTTTTCTGTGTGCAAGCCGTTGACTCGGGACTAGGAAAGCTAGAAAGATGAAATTTTAAGGGATATTTCCCGTTCACGCGAGTGTTAATGAGCTTCAAACCAGCCTTGGGGCACGCTTGGTACTCACGTGAGCCCGCAAATGTTTTTTCCGGATAAGTTGCTAACTCGAGAACATGAAAGGCTACTTAAGAGGGTGTTCCCCGTCCAAATAGATATTAATGAGTTCAAACCCAGCCCTCGGGTATGCGTGATACCCACATACGAGTCCGCCAAATTTTTTCTGGGTTGGTTGTTAACTCGGGAACCTGAGAAGCTAGAAGACTGTAATTTTTAGGAGATGTTCTCCATCCACGTAGGTTCTAATGAGTTCATACCTAACCTCCGGTTATGCGTGGTTCCTATGTATGGGTCCATGAAATTTTTCTGCGGGTAAGTTGCTAATCGGAAACCTAGAAAGTTAGAAAGATGAAAGTTTAAACGGATGCTTCCTGACAGTCCTGACGGCCTGTCTCAATTCGTTTAGCTAGAAGCATTTGCTGATAAAACCGGCGCTGCTGGCAATAAAAACTGCGGGGAACTATGCAAAAAACGCATCTTCGCACTGGCAGTCGGTGCGTTGGCCAATTATTTGTTTTCAGGGTGCCTTTGAATGTCTCGATTTTTCTTCTCAGGCTTTTTTGTGTGAATGCCTTCTTCAGCGGGACGCTGAAATTCTGATTTATTGAAGGTATTACGTGGATCACAATAATCGCCGGACGCACTGGATACATCCGCTTGCGAAAGAAAATTTACCCATGGGCTGGACAAAACAATTTGATACAGTAAA